TGTGGGGGCACTATATGATCCCACCACCATAATACTGATATGTGATGGCAAATTTAGGCGCCAAATTATACGAGTTGTTGGAGCGATATACAATAGCAGTAATTCATAGGGAAATGTGCATAAATTAGGGTATAAAACATACAATTTGCCACATACAGTCTTGAAAATGGATGAAAAGGTAATAATAATCGCAATAAATATAATGAAACTGATAATAATTGTTGGAAATATGCGAGGTGATAAAAATCAGCTAGGAGTCTGTAGTCCTCAGGAGAAAACGACGTGTGAAAATTAAAATATATATGAATAAGTGGAATATTTATGGAAAAAGTGTTTTGACAAAGTTATTGAGAAAAATATGAATATTTTTATAAGGAGTTACACTTAGTTAAATAAGGACAATCTGAGCGTTACGTTTAATCCGCAGGTTTTTCTGGTGCTGCAGCAGTTCCAGTAAGTGAAGGCGTTGACACATCGTTCAGGCAGTGTTTATGGTTGTCTTGGTAGCCATCGGTAAACTTTGGCTTCGTTCTGTCAATACTGATAGTCTCTACCTTATGAACCTTCCACGGCCGACGCACACTCGATATCAATGGTCGGTCTGCTAAATTTGGGCTACCAGTATGTCATGCTGTAAATTCCACATCTGTAGCAAAAGCACTGTGTTGAATCAAGCTATAATAACAAAAATAAGAAATAATAACTTTGCTATTCCCCCGGGAACCTCGAATAGACCGTCGCAAGCGGGTTGAAGCTATCCCAATGAAGGCTTGAATGCAGTTCGCTACTTGTAGTGGGATGTATGACAGTCGTTACTACCGCCATGGAAGTGATATTTTTGCTCATCTGTGTGCTGTTTCAATATATGCACATAGTGAGTCATACCAAACGGAACTTCTTTATCTGAGTCGTAACGTTGTCATATAGACTAGTTCGGAAATGCAGTAACCGGTATCTTCCTTTTAAATTACTTGTACGCTCAGTAGTAACAGTTTAGTTTGGTAGATCAGTCATTTCGAACCAGAGAGGCAGCAAACTCATTCTTAAGTTGCCAGCGTAATCACTCAACCATCTCACTGAAAATACGGTGGCAAAAAGTCGTTCGTTTAATCCCGGTAATTCAGGGGTCTGATGAAGAAGGTGGATTTCGACCTGTACGCCCTTATCGTTTGTGGTAATGGGCGGAAGACCATAGTTCGCCATCCAGTCTTCCACTAGAGCCTGGGAAACTGCTTCAGCGGATGCGTCCGCCAGTGGAACTGCTACAGTCCAACGAGTGAATCTGTCGGTGCAAGTGAAAGCACAGATGATACCATTCGATGGAGGCAGTGTATCAACGATATCTATGTGTATATAGTCGAATCTCGGGTCAGGGTTAATAGAAATTGCCGAATTGTTTGTCTGTGTGACAACGAATCTTGACTATTCGCAAGAAAAACATTACCATTTTCCAGCATCGCTTGGCCCTATAAATCTGTCTGCAAGCAGCTTTGTGATAGCACTGAATCCTGAATGTGACAGAGTGTATAGTTTCCCGAAAATGGAACGTCTCGTAGTTTCTGGAAGAATCGTCAGCATTAACCACGAGAAGTGTAACAAGGACTTTTGTCGTGCCAAAAGGAGTCTCGGTGAGTTCCAAAGATGTCATTTTACGAGATACTGTCTATCTTAGTTCAGTATTTTCTCTTCATTGGGCTCTGATATGTTCTCAGTCGATATCGGGGCATAAAATGTTGGTAATATGTACACGTGACGAAGCATCTGAAACTCCATAGTCGTTACTATTTACATGTCTAATATCTGAGTAAAACTGTGATATAAATCCAAGATGTCGTAGTTTACGAGGCGGGAAGTTCGTTAGGGCTTCATGATCCGGAAGGATAGTGAAAGCTATACCTCCCAGCTTGTGCCTACAGTAATGAATCTAGAATAACACTTTACAAGGTTTGTTTGCACTCGACCCTGGATTACTGCTCATGCATATTCAGTAGTATTCGCATAGAAGACAAACCAAAGGTAGAAGAATTACACAGGTACTTCAAGCTAAAAGTATTCGGAACCAAAAACGGCACAAATTATTCCGCCAGACATAAAATCCTAGGACTCCAAACACGATAGCCGAGATGACTGCAGCGGAACATGACACTTTTCTATAATATTCTAAACCGCATTGCGTATAATCTACTAATGGTACTCAATTTTCAGATGACAGTGGATATAACCTAAGACACACTAAAGAGTACAGTGGCTATCTAAAGACCTAAGACAGCCACCATGCCAGAGGTTTACTTGACTATACATGCTAAGATATGGAACAGCCTACCAACGGAAATGCAGCTAGCAAGCACATTGGTCTTCTTTTAAAAGGTACTTTATGAGACACCAAGAGAGTTCGCAAGCGATACAAGTTTTAATTCCCAGCTTCAGAAGTCACAGGACCATTTAATGTATGAACTTAGAGACTACACTTGTTGTTCTGCCTCTATTTATAATTTCAGGTAAAAAAGCAGCAGTCATGACCAAAGCACCCAAACAAATACGAGTCGTTCGTATAATTTCTACCTGGCACAAACAGTGAAACAAAACAGACATGCGAATGAAATATGAGAAAACAAAGTTGCGACTTACCACAATATCACATGGAAAGATATGAGTTTCTTTGACATCATTTATACTTCACCAACTAGTCTACTTTCTGAAAAGAATGTGATGATAGTTTATCTATAGTAGCAAGGAATTATATGAATCCACTGTTCCCATTGGTACAACTCAAATTCTTTGACCTTCTCAATATCGAGTATATACTCAATGGTGGTAGGTGTCCACGAAATAATGCACATAAAGCGGACTCATACTTCCCATGATAACAGCGATACTTTGCTGAATACATCAAAATTGTAGAACGATCAAATCCCACACGAAATGGAATTAACTAAATCCGCACGACAAACAAGCTGTAGTACGCATTTGGATATTCATCCATATGTTAGTTATGCTGACAAAAACAAATCATGGAGCAAATAAATCAGGATATCTAAAAGAATGAAAACATGCCGACAGTTGCATTAGGAATCCCGCTGACTCATTCGATTGTAATATTCTGCTCCTTCATGCCCCATTTTGTATGGATTAGTTCGCAGTCCTTCTGGTTCCTGATGGAGATGAATTGAAAAGCCCACTAGTTGCTGATTATGGTGATTTATTATTACTTCTTTGCATGTTTAACTGGATTCTAACTGCTGTGGTGAACGTCTTGCAGGTGATATCGCTGAAAACACTGTTGTCAGTAAACCAACCAGCATTTTACAAGCCGTTTTTATACGCTGTGGATGATCCATCACGTCGACTACATGTAACGCAACTTCCAGTAGTTACTTACGTTTTCGACAAATTCAAACCACGATGGTGCCCGGTATTATATTATGTAAATTGTTTTTATCTACGTACGGTGTGCTTACTGACATTAATCCATTGCCTTTCCTTGTATACATATCCTGTGTTAGTGACAAATTGTAAATATGCTAACTCCATGGGTATATTACTTATCATATTGATGATGCCTGTAAACTGGCGTCCCTCATGCACATAAAGTGGGAATATATTATTATTAAATGTTTGATGGCCAAATAAATGGCTAGTAACTATTATTATTATTTCCTTTAGTTCCTAGAGGAACATAGGGCTTCAGTCGTGCGTCTCCATTGCGTTCGGTTCTCTGCTAGAGTTTTCACCTGGCTCCAGGTCTGCCCACATGCTTTCATCTCCTCTTCACATGATCTCCTCCAGGTCACCCTTGCACTGACGACCAACTCGTCGCTTCCCTTTCGGGTTCCACTCGAGTGATGGCTTGTCTAGTGATGTCACTTGATGGTTTCCTCAGAGTATGACTAGCCAATCCATCTCCATTTCTTCCTGCCTATTTGTTTCACAATCGGTTCCTGGTTGGTTCGCTCCGAGAGATCTTTGTTGCTGATCCTTTCCGGCCATCTGATCTTGAGTATTGAGCGAAGACATCTGTTAATGAAGGTCTGTAGCTTAAGGGCTAGTAACACTCCGCCACAAATGCTGTGGAAACGCTGAGCTGGGGTCAGTCGTTCTGAAAAGAATATAGGAACTCGCAATTTACTGTGTGCCTGTGGTTGTAGGACTTCCCCAGTGGTTAAATTCCGGGCGTCCATCAAAAAGGAAGAGGAACTTCTGTTTTATGTATGGCTAGGAATGTCTTTTCGTATAATAAGTGCTTAACGGTCTCGGACGATTTAACGACTTCAGCTGAAAAGTGAAACGAACGACTGAGTCCACCTGAACAGTCGGTTAACAGTTGCAAAACTGTAGCACAGTTGAAAATGTAACAACTGTAAATGTTGGTAGGACCCGAAAACGTCGTAATTTCTTGAGTTGGGTAGTAAGTAATCTTCGACAGCTTGCAAGTCATCAGGGGCGTTTGCATAGTCATTTGCATTACCAAGTTGCGGATGATAATGTGTATACATCAGGTACGTGACTGTCGATCAAATGCCCAAAAGATTACCCCAAGTGCCCGACGTGAACTATCTATCCACTGCGACACGCCTTCAATTTTAGACTATGAATGAAAATAATATTCTTTGCGCATAAATTGAACCTGTGCTTGAAACGCTGGTGTGACATGGACACGACGTACCTGATTTATACACTATCCTCCTCAATTTTATAATTCAAATTGCTGAGCAGACATGGACTAGGAGAAATTCACATGAATACGGCTTGCTATTTGACATTATTTCACATGTTTTGTCAACACCCCCCAAACATTTATACTGCACCCTTTATTTCTCTTTTATAATTATTATTAGGCTTAAATATTTTCTCCCGTTTTCTTGCAACAATGTTTTTTCAAAAGTATGTATTTATTGAATCTTAGAAATCCGAGGAGACCTGAGATTTGTTTAGCCGAGTAAATTCAAGGTAACCTCACATTGAATCTCTTCGTGGTTTCCGTTAGGTAGCCGTAACCTATTATGATGCTAGTTACTGGTTAGTTCTACTTGTGATGCAATACATATCTTTTAGGTGCTCTGTTCATTTTTATTTGTTCACGGTTGGCTATTGTGATACATCCAAATCCACTACCACAAAGTAAGTGCTTTTTAACCAATAATTTCACCATTCATCCTATCGACATACACTCTTAAACATTCGGGTAACTCTGTACATTTAGAAAAAAGGCTTCTTTGTTTTTGAATTTGGAATTTAATAGTCGTTTGATAAGGCCAGAATTTGAGTACCATAAAATGTATAATTCTCCTATCTAGACGGTTATTTGGTGACTTTTTTTATTTCAGAAGTTTATTTGTTCACAGTACATCAGTTTTGCGCCACAAAATATTATGATATGCACACTGTCACTTAACTCGAGTTAATAAAAAGATAGAAAGATATGTGCAATTTCTCATTGCTATTACCCAAGCTTACAATAATGCTGAATTAAATCTCAGTAATTCTGAAATAATTCTTGCATCCTATAGTGAGTAAATTCTGAATCTGTTCTGAAATGGTTTGTTTAACGGCACTAGAACTCAGTGCTGGTTTTCAGCATGACTAGAACTAATTCAGCACCGTGTTCTTTTTCTAGGCATTTTCCCGAGTGGATCAGAACATACTGGGTTTCCTATAGTTTCACTCAGAACGAAAAGACCTAATTCAGCACATAGTGGCAATTTTTTCAGCTTAATTCTAGCCTTCTCAGCACATATTCAGAACTGACTAGCATTACTTCAGAACGAAAAGACCTAATTCAGCACATAGTGGCAATTTTTTCAGCTTAATTCTAGCCTTTTCAGATTTGTCGCATTAATTCAGCACCCAGCTCTCTTTTTAAGCACGACCGGGTTATTAAGAACATAGTGGGTAGAAAAAATTTCATTTACCATAAAAAGGCATTATCAACGCATAGGTTAGAATAAGTTTAGAATTGTTGTAAGCTTGGGTATTTAGCTCATTTATAACCGCTGAAATTGCTGGTTAATTGGTTAGCACCTTATGTACACAAAATAATTTCATAACCGAATTTACAATGGCCAAGTGGGCATTGTATAATTTGGAATCTCATCTAATGTGGAGGAAGTTAATTGTTGGTTTCAGTCCTTTTACAGTGTAAAATATTTTTCATCGAAGTGCACACGTTGGTAGTGATTCCAGATGTTTCCAGGTTTATAAGAAGGCTTGCGTAATGAAACCTATCAAGTGGCCTGCTAAATTATACTGATATTTTTCCAACGTGTTTCCTCATAGAATGAGGGATTTCAGATAGAGGTACAATGTACACTACAAGCTTATGCTTCGACCATTCTTTTCGGTGTGTAAATGATGATGCTTTTGAAGTGAACCATGATGGCTTTCATAAATATTCGTTTTGGAATTGTAACTACAGTGCAGCCTAAATGAACAGAGCTATAGTTGGACGAAAAATACCTTTCCTCTCCTTTGTAGATAAAGTTTAGCACTGCATCCTCAAACAATTATATACCATCTTTGAAGGATTGCACACATAATAAACTCCCTGAAAACTGCCAGCTCTTTTAGAAACCCTGTATTTATCTCATTGACTGCCGTTAAAAACTTTGTATCACGAATGCTCAAATACCTAATTATATCTTGATGGATACTGTTGCAACACACATTATCTATTGGTAATGCTTCTAGTAATTATCCCATATATAGTATGGCTTGCTCTAATTGAAAACAGTGAACAGGACTGAGTTTAGAGGTAATCTATTACGTACACTTAGGAAGTTATACACTTGTAGATACTTAGGTGTCTGAGACATTTACTGGGTGGAATAGCCTATCACTTTCGTTGAACCGATTGGAATCCAATAGCCATTGGGTTCTAGCTTATGTCACTTTAGAATATAACTCCATCTCCCCCAGTGTTGTAGATAAACAGTAGTCTTAATAAAGAGCGAAACGTCTGTTTAATGTTTGATAGTTACTTTTTCAGGAGCTTAATGCATTTATTCCACTTTATCAGCCTGTATAAAGCAAGAACAACAGTCTTTGCAGAATAAAATGGTACCATCATTTATTTCGTTGGCTTCTCATCAGCCAACTCTTGCCCTGGTAACTGGATGTTTTCACCCTCTCTTTCATCTGATTACATAACGCCGAAAGATTCCAGTATGTATTATTATTATTGTTTGGAATTATTGTTATCAGCATTGTATGTATGTATATTGATTTTTTTATTTAAAACTAACTCTGTGCAAGTATGTAAAAATTGTCTCTGTATTATTATTATTGTTCCCTTGGGTTCCTAGTGGAACATAGGGCTTCAACTGCACGTCTCCACTTGCTTCTGTCTTCTGCTGTTCTTTTCACTTGCGTCCATGTTATTCCATACTGTTTCATCTCCTCCTCACACGATCTCCTCCATGTCACCCTTGGACGTCCCACTCGCCGCTTCCCTTTCGGGTTCCACTCGAGCGCTGGCCTGACGCGCGATGTCACTCAACGGCCTCCTCAGCGAGTGTCCAATCCATCTCCACTTTCTCCTGCATATTTGTTGGGCGATTGGTTCTTGTTTCGTTTGTTCCCATAGCTTCTTGTTTGTGATTCTTTCCGGCCATCTAATCTTCAGTATGGAGCGAAGACAGTTGTTGATAAAGGTCTGCAACCTGTTGAAAATATTCTTGGTGACCCGCCAAGTTTCTGATCCGTATAGCGAAACTGACTTGACGTTTGCATTGAAAATCCGAATTTTGTTGTTGATGCTGAGTGACGGAGATTTCCAGATTGGTTTCAGGTTGATGAATGTGTTTCTCGCCTTCCCGATTCTCGATTTGACATCCTCGTCCGTTCCTCCTGTGGTTGAGACAATGCTCCCTAGATCAGTGAGTGAATGAAGTAACCTCTTTCAAATCCCTCCCGTTGATGGTGATTGGCGCTGGATGTTGCTGCTGCTGTTGTTGTTGTTGGTTGGTTATTTTCATAACCTCCGTCTTGTCTATGTTCACCTGGAGTCCTATCTTTGTTGCTTCTTCGACCACTCTGTCGGTTTTCGCTTGTAAGTCTTCGATTTTGTGTGACATCAAACATAAATCATCCACGCGCGAAATCCAAGTATTCTAGGTTCTTCACGTCGGTCCAGGATATCCCTGTCTTCTCGTTTCCCACTGTCTGACGCATAATCCAGTCCACCACAATTAGGAATATCATTGGTGATAATAAGCACCCTTGTCTGACTCCTGTGTTTACTCCAAACGCTTCGCTGAGTTTTCCGTTGTGGATCACTTGACATGTGCCGTTGTCGTACAGCTGTTGAATAAGGTTGATGAATATTTGGAGTAAGCCGTAGTACTCGAGTAGTTTCCAAATTACTTCGCGGTCAACGCTGTCGAAGGCCTTCTCAAAGTCTATGAAGTTGAGGTAGAGATTTGATTGCCATTCCATGCTTTGTTTGATGATGATGCGTAGAGTTGCAATTTGGTCAGAACATGATTTGCCTTTCCTGAATCCAGCTTGTTCTGGTTGGCGGAGTTCTGCATCCAGTGCGTCCTTGATTCTCTCCAGGATGATGCGACTCAGGATTTTACTTGGCGTCGACAGGAGCATGATTCCTCGCCAGTTCTTGCAGAGTCCCAGGTCGCCCTTCTTTGGTAGTTTCACCAGGTAACCTTTCCTCCAGTCAGTAGGCACCTTTCCCTCTTTCCAGATCTTTTGCAATAATGGAGTCAGCATATCTGCCGTCGTTTCTGGGTCCGCTTTCAGTGCTTCCGGGGTATTCCATCTGGTCCAGCTGCTTTTCCAGCTTTCAGAAGCTTGATTGCATTCATGACTTCAGTTTTCGTTGGAGGATTGGTGTCAACTTGCAGTTGTGTACGTGCTGTTGTTGGTATTACTGGACGGGTTGTAGGTGGTGGTCGGTTCAAGAGTCCTTTGAAGTGGTCCGCCCATTGTTTAATCTGTCTTTCTTCTTTGGTAATTGGGTTCCCTTGGCTGTCTTTTATAGGTTTCACTTGTGTCGATCTCTTCCCGGATAGAGACTTGGTTATCTGATATAGTGTCCTCAGGTCCCTTTTGCCTGCTGCCTTCTCAGCTTCAGTAGCCAGGTTGTCGTAGAATTGTCTTTTGTCCTTCCTGGCACTCTTCTTCACTTCTTTGTCCAGTGCTGTGTAAGTTGAGCTCAGCGTCTCTTTCTCTTGTCCATCTTTGCATTGAATCATTTTTTCTTTCACCTTTCTCCTCTCCTCTATTAGTTTCCAAGTGTCTGTTGAGAGCCATTCCTTGTCTTGTTTCTTCTTTCTTCCTAAAACCGTTGAGCACGTCTCGTTGAAAATTACCTTCAGAGAGTTCCAATGGTCTTCCACGGATGATTCCTCAGTGGTGCCACGTAGTGTTTCCTGCTTTGCTCTGACAGTTGCAGTGAAAGTGTCCTTTGTGGTTGTGTCCTTCAGTTTTTGCGTGTTGAACTTGCATTGTGGCCTATCCCCAGGTATCCTCGAGGCTTTCAGCTTCATCTTGAATGTCCCTTGTACTAGATAGTGGTCTGAACCCACATCTGCTCCTCTCCTCGATCTTGTGTCCAGTAGGCTCCGTCTCCACTTCCTTGAGATTGAAATGAAGTCTATCTGGTTTTTGGTGTGTCCATCTGGTGAAATCCATGTTGCCTTGTGTATATCCCTGTGTTTGAACACACTGCCACCAATCACCAAATCATTGAAGGCGCAGAAGTCTGAGAAGAGTTCGCCATTTTCGTTCATTTCACCGAGGGCCTCACGACCCATGGTGAGTTCTCTTCCTGTATTGTCTCCTCCCAGTTTCACATTCATGTCGCCCATCAGGATTTTGATATCGCTCTTTGGGACGTTGTCCATTACTGTTTGTAGTTGACTGTAGAAATCCTCCTTCTTCTCATGTTCTGAGGCGTTTGTAGGCGCGTAGCACTGAATGATTGTAACCTTCTTTCCTTTTGAGTTGAACCTGGCTGTCATTATCCTGGAGGAGATTGGTTCCCACTGCATGAGAGCTTTAGCCGCTGTTGGTGACATCATGATGGCTACTCCCTCGGTGTGCTCGTGATTGTCCTCTGGGTGACCGGAGTAGATTATTGTCTCTCCAGTTGGTAGTTGGCTCCTTCCACATCCGTTCCATCTGCTCTCGCAGATTCCCAACACTTCTATTTTATATCTCCTCATTTCTGCGGCTACCTGAGCAGCCTTCCCAGCTTCGTACATTGTACGAACATTCCACGTCCCCAACCTTATTTTTGCTCTCATCGAAAGAAGGCACATCGGCTGACTGGCTTCCCGAAGGCTTTCACCAGCCCGCGTCATTTCACTTCCCCGATTCCAGCGAAAAATAAGGTCACTATTTGTAATTTTAGAATTTTGAATATATTTGTGCGTTGAAGTTTTAGTAGCAATTTGGTTAAGTTTTGGGGGTGGAGTTGCTAGCACCACGCCCCAACCCTCCCTCTTTATCCGGGCTTGGGACCGGCTAGAATACTAGTGACCTAGTAATCTAGGCGAGGTTAAAAATTGTCTCTGTAGATAAACTTAATAATGTCTTTGGGCTGTAAGCAGATGATGAGAAGCCGGCGAAACAGATATTGGTACTATTTTATCCTGCAAAAACTCTTGTTCTTGCTCTATTCACTTCTTACTGACTGAATATCCAGCATACAACTTTGCACTAAAGTGTTATATTATAAGTTGTCACACTCCATACACAATAACTAAAGGTAACGGAAAAAAGGAATGCGGAGAAACAGTAATAAACGGAAATTTATATGGGAAAAAATAATTACATGGAGAATGAAAAGATTTAGATTTGCACCACTGGAAACAATTTTGAGGGATGCCATCAACAGTCTCCTAGGATTGATTTCTAGTGTCTCGGCAACTTTGGCCTAGTAGCATATACCTCTTGAGTGGCTCAAGCCAAAGGTTGAAGACTTCATGGATGGATGTCATATTTTGATTTGATCAAACCTAACTCTCTTTCAACCCAATCTTACGTCAGTTAACACTCTTCAACGCGGAAAGTGTATCAGCCCTCATAGATGGTCTCTGACACGATAAAACATGTTTCCGGCATTTGCTAGTTTCTACCATATTTAGTGGCTGCATGGAACTCATTAGAGCATACTTGTCTGTATCTTAATTTACAGTCATGTGCTAGCAAATGTAAGCAGAAAGCACGAAGAGATTGTGTTTTAACCATAGGAATTTCGGTCTAATTTATCATGTTATTAGCAAACCGATGGTGGTAAGTATTGAAATTAGGCGTAGAGAATCAGTCATTGGCACGGCAGAGTCCTATTATCTTTAACGAATGCCAAATGCTTTCTGTGTTCTAAGGCATCACCATGGCAGTCGAGAAATATCATCTGATTAACTTATTATTTATTTTAAACACAAACGTGGTATACTATGGTTGAGGAAAGAAAATATGGCAGTGTTTTTAAAACAGAACTGAGTTGTTTCATCCACAATAATTCAAACAATATAAGTAAAGTGCATCATTTCCTCCATTAAATTCAGTTTTGAGCCATATCCATTTACTTTTCAAGCTACTGAGAGTCATGATGTACTAAACTTGATCAACCAAAGCTGCACCAGCACTCACACAATTGCCTAGATATGTGATATTTTGAATGCCTTTTTATTTATTTTGATTTCAGCTTGATGCCATACCGTATTTTCTGTACAGGTATGGAATTTTCAGCATGGATATCGGTAGCCCAAATTTTACAGGCCGACCATAGATATCGGGTGTGCGCCGGCAGGGGATCGAACCCCGGACCATGTGCATGGTCGGCGAGAGTCCTAACCACTGTGCTACCGACGCACTTGAGTGGTGGAAAACACACACCACACTTCCAGGTATCAATCGCCAGTTGATTAAGTGTTATTTGAGTAACCTGTTTGTTATCCTACTGAAAGGTGATATCGTCTATAGTGAAAAGATTTCTAGCTCAGGTGGATGATTTTGACTCAGTCGTGTTCTCTGAGCTGGTTGATTTAATTGCAGAGCTTCTGTTATCCTTCTGGACAGCATTTTCAGAGCATGAAATGAACTCATTTGAATTCTTTCTGAATGATACTTGTTTTTGTGTCCTGACAACCATCGTCCTGGCTGGTTGTTAATTTACTTCTATAGTGATCATTTTTTATTGACTTGGGATTTGAACATTCTTGTCACGTGATTTATTTTTACTAGTCGATAAATTGGGTGTATAGTAATACTTTTGTTAATTACTGATTCATTTGAGTACCCTGGCATTTTCGGTGTTTCCTCTATTTAAGATTTCTACGTTATCTCAATCAAATTCGTGTCCGTAATTATCTACACGCATCTGTATGAAAGAATGCATGTCGTGTCTTCGCACAGCTTATTTATGTTCATGGATTCGAGCAAGAAGGGGACGCCCACTTTAACCGATGTAATGTTGGCCTGACATTCATTTTCCAAACAGCAGATATCTGCTTTGATTGGGTTGTCAAGACAATATGAAAAGATGACGAAATCGAAAAGTCATCTCATTCCTGCGTCCTAGCAGCTTACTCCACTCGCTACTTCATGAAGTATATAAGAATTCATTTGATACATCATTTTATCATCATCATCATCAATAGTCCATTCGTGCAGTTATTGAGTATAATCTGCTAAAGGTTCCTGCACGTATAGTCAAATAGTGCCTTCGTTATTAGGTTTTGAGGGACTCGCGAAATTCCACTATTTGATGGCACAACTTTATTCCAGTCAGTGAATGGCTTTACTCGTCATCTTTATGAAGTCTTTACTGATTAGAGAGTCAGTGGCTAGTCTTGAATCTAGTTCGGCTTGATATTTGGCAATGGCAACAAGTGCAACCAGTTTACTCACGCCAATCCGTCTAAAATGACGTTCCCCATCACCACTTGATCGCAATATAAACCTGTTACACGCTAAGGTATCATAAGAATTCGAACTAGAGCTTCAGAAATTATGAAAGTTCTGTATACGTTCACATTTTTGGTAGCTGATGATAGTGTAGCCTTTTAGGATTCAGACTTGGAGTACAGAAGGAAGATATCAGGTAGCACTACTCCAAAATCGACAACTGTTAGTTGTTTAACTTATCTCAAAAGTGTCTAACAGTGAATTAGTCGGTGGGCGTTAGCTTTTACTAAATATATATCTTTAGAATTCTCAGCGTACCCAAAGTAAAATGATTTCAAGAATCTATAAGGTTGTCTAGCCACTGTTACTAAGGGAACAAGCAAAACGCTGATGAAGTCCTACTAATCTGTCATATTTCTTGCATTTATCGTACCTGAAGACAGCGTGATCTTTTGAGTTCACTCTTCTACCACAGAGGGTGGCACTACGACGATTTCGGTATCAGAATTTGGTGTTGATCAGAAATAGGTTATGGTCTGCACAGAGATGTAGAAGACCTTTTTCATTATCTGATCTGCACCACTTAGTCTCCACTGACCATCTAGATACCCTCTTTCCAAGGCTAAACTCGATATACGCAATCATCCCCTTAGTGTGCACTACGATATCTTAGGATTGCACTCATTCAAGATGGTCAATCGTTTGATGGTAAAAGTCATCCTTAATTACATCCGGGTTACAATCTGTTAGTTCGTTTATCTCACTTCTGCGATCTATCACTACGCAGATAGGGATAATGTAAAGACAACGCTTCTCTAGCCATTTGCTTATTACTCTAATATTACCTTCCCATCTAACAGTATATTAATGACTAATAGTGATGATATAGTCTAATAATGTAGCTTTAGGTCTAGCGCTTAGTGAGACACCGAGACCAGCTTGGCAGAACGCCGATGATATAAGATCCTCAGCAGCAAAACGCTGATGAATCCGTATTCATGTGTCATTTTTTTCCGTATTTTCCCAACCTAGTAAGCTTAACAGTGATGCTTCCAAGTTTAGAACAAATTAAATTCTATAAAACTTATTTAGTTAATATATTTTAGGTCAACCATAACAGTGATTAGGATTTTTAATACGAGAATTATAAAATAAAAAGTGTAATTATTCTTTCTTACTACACAGTATTGCCTTTCGTGTTTTATTAGATACTACACAAAGTGGTGACACTTCTAGTGTTTACGGAACTCCTGTGGAATACTCAAAACTGATAGGAAGTGAGAGTACTGAATCAGCCACATATTTGACGTCTACAGGATCTACTGAGTATGCGGACGTATCTCTGACAACATACATCGATTACAGTGAGCCAGCTTCTTCTGAACACCTATTGGCTTCCACTACCCAGTCATCTACTAGTCTCAGTACACCCGAAACGGTTTTGACGATAGTCACAAGTCCTTCCACCAATGCTTTCAATCCCTCTGAATTTTCAACATCCAATAAGAATGAGAATATACTTGTTGAAAATGCTTCATCACCATCAACCACTCCATTTTCTTCAGATGTGAAATCAGTTGATCGCCAGGAAGATTTTGATACTTTCGAAGATGACAGTTTTCAATCCATTGATGTGTCATCTCACACTGAAACTACTGATCCAGGTAGTATGACACAGAATTCCACTACAGCATCCGAAGCTACTACAAGCCATCCAACCACTCAGTCAACCTCCACGTCGGCACAACCTAAAACCACAATACATTTAACAACAATAACAACTGATGCTTCTCATAATTCGACTTCATCCACCTCCACAACAGTTATTCCTGAAGTTATGCCTAGTTCGACAGCTACTAAATTTTCCATCAAGAATGGTAGCACTTATTGCCTTCTATTACAAACTGAAATGATATTCGAGATTTATTATAATACTGAGGTAGGTGTTTGGAATGCCCAATATTTATTTCCTAACTTCATTATGAAATTATACTGTTTAGTTTAATTCATTTCTGAGTACTGTTAAATACAAAGCAAAAATAGTCAACCATCTTAGGAAATAGACTTAATATACTGTAGGACTAACTGTATACAAGCCCTAACGATAAACAAAACAAGTAACTCTTCTCAGTAATTTCATTTTCTTTAGTTGTACAATATCATTTGATATACAGTGTTTTCACAAAAGAGGACAGTGACAGAAGAGATGAACAGTTACAAGCATAGTTGCTGATATTAATCAGTTCTTAAGAGAATTTGAGCAAGACTGATGGTGTTTCATAATGAGATCAATAATCCAGTGGGTGAGTTGTAATCAGGATGTACATAGGAGCTAAGAAAATGCGATGTTACGTAAGGGCTCGCGCAACAATGGGACAGTTAAGAAAAGTTGACTGAAAACTGATGTACAGCTACCTGCTTCGTGGTATTTTTCAATTCGTTGATCGCATACATGATATGAAGGTCCCTATTAAAAGTATGCTGTCTCTCGACATCAAATCATTCTTCACCACTTATGGGAATCATGTGTTTTATATGCAGATATATATAGACGAAAGCTAGTTGAACGTCGGAATATCAATAGCATATCTGAAGGAAATGTTACTGAAATGTACTCTTTAATTACAGTTTACACTGAATGACATCATTTACAGATAAAAGAAGGGAACCACACTGGGTCCATTGCTAACAAACTGTTTTATGCCAAGCCTCGATAATGGTTCCTTAAAGTCAACTGTTGATAATTTTCAACTGAATACAAGGTATGTAGACGACATTTTTATTATCTGTGATAACAAATATGACCTTAGTCAGATGTTACAAGTAGTTAATGACTACTATCAAGAGATGAAATTCACTGAAATGGAAAATTAATCGAACATTCCCTTGCTTGATTTCGAACTATCAAGAAGGGCCGATGGAATTTTAAGAATGTCTGCCTATGGGAAACCCATATAAGACGGTCACCTGCAGCTGGGTGGTGACTGAAAGAGAACAAAATCTAATCATATCCCTTACCACATGTGTCCTACGTATCTGCAATCCTGACGTTCTAAAAGAGGAATTGGAGCTGAAAAAGATCTTCATTCAAAATGGATATCCACCAAATTTATTTACAAGAACAACAAACATAAAGTTCGGAGAAGTGAAACATCTTTTTTGCCAAAAAGGCTTTATATGGACCTTGATTTCAATGGTGACCTAACTTATAATGTCTGTAAAAGAGGGCTTTCGACATTTTCTGAGGACATTCTACCTAACAATTCTAAACGTAGAGTTATTCAGTTGTCCAATGGTCTGCAGAAGTCTGGAAGACAAGACCTCGCATTCACCGTCTTTTTTGAGCTTACATTAGTTCACTAGCTCGTGTGAAACGAGATATATTGGTCATTTGGTGCAAACACTGTCTAAAAAGGTTGAAGAACAAAGCCTTAAAGAAAATGAAGTCGCCTAGAAGATCCTCTCCACTGTTTTTCATGAGTGACTGTTAGGGGATTATTTATGAATTATGCACATTTAGCCAGAGGTCCTGTCGTTCACTCTGTTTTGAATGTATAGTGCATAAGCTAATTCTAACTTTGAAATTATTTATCCATGTCTGTGAATACCCGTTGAAATGTATGGTACGAATTGATCAACCTCATTTCGGTATACGAGCTCCTTGAATAGATGCCTCGATATTACCAGGATTAAGAACTTTAAGTTACTTGTTTGGTGGTAGCTTGAAATGGAAGGGAGGATTCAGGTTTCGTCCTATCTCGGACTCATCATGTAGATGCATACGCTTCCCATTAAGTAGTAGTATCTTCATTGAGAGTCGAACCTAGTAACCATCGTTTCAAATGCCTTTGCCAATTAACTACTTTCAGTTTTCATGGTTCAAACTAAGTTTGTGGGAAGAGAATTTCTTCGACTAAATTCTACTCAATAGTTTTATGTCTGCTTAGCTGAATCAGCTCTTCTTAATCCACCTGAAACGTGAGAGTATTTCAAGACGTCATTAAGACTGCTGTGACTTAACAGAAATTACGAAAGCATGACTGACTGACGAATGAAATATGAAGCGTTGCATAGACGTGCATATAATAGGTCTAAGGTTTATTGCTGCAGAGAAGTTATTTTCTATTTCGTTTTTCACATTCATTACGTTCTACTTGTTCAGATCGACGGCATTAACACTGATCACCTGAATTTCACATATATATATATATATAAATCTTATTCTAAATTTGTGGAAAAATGAAAAGGATTTTACTAACGTAGTTTTGTTCATGCATTTCTGACTGAAACTCAATCTCATATTTTAAATAAGACCATGTAGTCAAAATAAGAATAGTCTGAAGGAACATAGTTTTCGAAAACTTCTTCAGGCTTTACAGTTACAAATCCATTAGTGTTAGTTAGAATACAATCACCAGTAAAAGCAAATCAAAATTATATCATAATCTGTATCGCGGTACAAGTACAAGATGGAATAATAGTCCACTGGTTTCGATTATCGTTTAAATGCATGTATCATGTACAATCAGAAGGAATTTAAGATGAGAGACTAAACAGCATTAACAAAAGTATGGGTTTTAAGGGGTGAGTCGTGTTTACTGGTGTGAGGGAAAATTTGAATACTACAAAAATATAGATAAAGAGATGAGTCACGCTAAATGTAAGTTAGAAATATAACTAATATCATTATTATTTATTATTCATTCCTTGCCTTCCGAGTAGGACATAGAGCCTCCGTGGCACATACCGATTCCAGTCAGTTATTTTCCATCAGTTTCACCTGATTCCTCAGACGCCTTTCACCTTCTCCTCACATGATCTTTCCATGTCATACCCGGCTCGACACTTCCCACTGTGATTCCATTCAAGGGTCTGTCTGACGTGTGACGTCGCTAAACAGTCTTATCACTGTTTTTGCAATCCATTTCTACTTTCTTTTGAATATCTTTGGGGCACTAGATTGTTGGTTGATTAGCTGCCAGAGTGCCTTATCGCTTCTTTATTCTTCCCAGTCAGTCATTCAACCTTCAGTGTTGAGGTAGCGAAGATAGATGTTGGTAGTTAAGGGTTTGCAGTAGCCTGCTGGAAATGCCTTTGGTGATGGAGGCGCGCCAAGTCTTTGAATCACATAGAAGCACTGACTTGACATTAGTGTTGAAAACTCGGATCTGGTTCCTTGTGCTAAGTGCTGTAGATCTCCACAGTGATTTCAGAGCAAGGAACTCCTGTCTCGTTTTTGAGAACCTAATAGACTACGCACAATGAGAAATAAAATATCCTTGAAATAGAGTGGCCAATATTGTTCGCAAATGATCAAGTTAATGCATGATCTATAATTTTAATAATGTTCATTGTTTTTGTCCTAGTAAACACCAGATATTCTCTGATCTGTCTTGTTCTCTTCACTATAAATAGTGGTAGTATCAGATCTCAATATATTTTCAGCTACATTAATGGTTAGGTTTTTTCCCTTGAGCCCATTCAGTTTGACAGAGTTGAAGTATAAAACCGCAGGATTTATTGGATGAGAAATACGTCCACCATCAGTCTAGTGATCTAGTAATGTACGACTTACTGGAAATGACACTGGACCTCAGAAAAATGTGTTTCAGTTTTGAATCTGGCTCTTTCACTGAGGATTTGAACTGGTTACATACAATAGGTATATAAAGCTTGTTTTCTTCACGCAAACGCTTTCATTAGATTGTTAGAAAGCGAAAGCATAAGGCATATGGATAATCAGATATGAAGCGCATTAGTGATTGATTAACACAAAATTAGTATTTTAAGTTGTTTATTCTCTGAGTTCACTTCCAGTTGGTATACAGACGTTATTGTACTGTTTTTTAATCTCACCTTCCATTTGTACCCATAAATTCACGGACATGCACTTCAGCGTCAAATACAACTTCCTGGTTAATAGTTTATGTTGATAGTGAGGCTTACAGCTGTTTTCCATTCACATAAAAAGCGGTAAGTTATTAAAACAGTACTTATGTGTTGTTCCAGAAATGGTCGTCACTCAAGTCCTGAATAAGAACACAATTAAAGGGATTTTGTCAGAAAGCGACATTATTGAGTAACAATTAAAAATCAGGGTGTATTCGTACTCTCCTTGTAATTAAAAAGTCATACTTTCAATTTCCAGTAATATCTAGTTTTCAGGATAATTTCATTCAAAACTAATTTCTGTGGCTAGTGGGGTTGTTGTGCATCATCATTTGACGGTTGAATTGTATTAGTTAGCCTGTATATAATCCTGTATTAGGTAATCGAATTTTCTTCTGAATACGACAACAAAGTTTCTACTTTACTAATAACTCCGAATGTATATTGATAGTCCTCAAGACGTTTTTCTCTTCAGAGGCCATAAACATAATGTTATTTCAAATATGGATACCGTCCACACTCTGTGGTATGTATTAAGATATCGTAGAGTTTAGGCCTTAAAATTTCATTCATCTCTTTATTATGTATTTTCAGCGTTAGTTAATTTTGTGGAACTGAGAGCTCCTACTCTGTTTGTTGTTTTGAGTTGGTACTTTCTCTTTTGACCGTAACGAAAATTCTGATCATTGGTTTGTTTGCTTTAATGTTTAAATGAAAAAAACCAAAGAAACAGACGAAATCCTACAAATTGTCTCAACCTAATGCTACGGTAATCAGTAATGAAAGTGAATGTACCGAAAGCTATGCAAAATTATCACTGGATGTTACGCCGAAAAATTTAAAAGTCAATTCTACATGGAAGTTAACATTTTCATTCATTCATGAAGCTAAACATAACAACATATCAAAGCATAATGATTCCGGTATTTATTCATTGGATAAATTACAATTCGATTATTACTTAGATGAAACATTATTCCCAGACACTTCACCAACTGGTGAGTTTTCTTTTTCATACTTATTTCTCATTACTTGACACGCAGTTTTAATTGTTATTTTGGCGAAATGATGTTATCCCTAACATATCAGAATTTCATACAATTGGTTCCCTTGATAAATTTCGATAAAGTGGATTATAGAAGGAGTGGTGTTGTATACTGTTATGAGTTTTGCTGCCGGGAAGCTTCTATTTATTGCTTCTTTCAGTCTTCTCTCAATCTTTTGTGACACTGCATCTCCTTTGAATGGGAGATGCGTTTATGAATTTACATGCACTTGCGGGAGCAAGTACATTAGATGGACAGCAAGGAAGCAAATATTCCCAGAGTGCAATTAACAGACATATTGTTGATACGGGACATCTCGTAGAGATTTCTAAGTCCTTCAAATTTTAAATAGACAAAGGAGAGCAAATTTACTACGGTTTGCCGAAGCGATCGCAATCAAACGATTTAAACCAAATTTATGCATACAGAAAGAGAGTGCGATTAACCTCTCACTCCCTTGGTAACTGAATTTTGATTTTGATTACAATAATTAGTCATCTAATTCAGTGATCTCAACTCACTGAACAAATCTTAATCTCATAAACTGTAACCGCTTTTGTTTTTTTATTTATTTTGGAGTTGCTATGTAAACCTACAAGCTAACACTGTTCTGTTAATCAGTTTTTTCTGTTTTCTGTCTTACCCCTCCTCCCTCTTTTCAACTCTGAAAGTGTATAAATTGATGATGAAAACTTAAACTAAAAATTACAATGCTTTCATTTTGGATGCGTCAATTTTATAGTATCTCTTCTCTACTACCACTCAAAAATTAAAGTATGTTATTATCACTTATATAAGCATTGTAATTTCAGGTAGTCTGCAGCTGATGAGAACCTGGGAAATAGAATGATACCATTTTATACTGCCAATTTTGTCTTCCTTTCTTTATCAGAATTTATCACGATAACATCATAGTTTGCAGTTTAAAATTCTTTTAGTAGTTGAACTCTACTTCAATAAATAATTTTGTCTTCTTTATTAATTAATTCGCCGAAAAGAGTCTCTTCGCTGAATGTCTTCTCTTTTTCATATGACTCAATGGGGATTTTCAATCTACTAATTAATAATTGTTGCCTACAAAATTTTCAGAATATTGAAACACTCATTCAAGACTGAATTGCATAATGATAGAAAATTATTCATATCTCTGTGTGTTTATGTTCATCATATTATTATCGTTACATTTATCTGTCTTTTAGAAGGCAGTCTTTACGAATGTATAGAACGAAGTATCACGCTTATTGGCGCTAGTCACTATCTCGAAAAAGTTGGTTTCTTCTCAAAGTTTGTAATCATGTCGTCTAGCGCTATAGTCGGAGAAGCTACCACTGAATTCTCATATAATGTACTGAGTTTATTGTCTACCAGTTGATTTCTCATGATTATCATGTTTTAAATGTGATGAATATCCCCTTACATGTATTAATTAACAATTTTTGCTTTTATTAAAAAAAACTTTATTTTAGTCAAACATGTCAGTTTGTCCAAGAATGTTAGCGTATTTCAAATACCTGTCGGATCATATTATTCATGTATCAATGGAGAGGAATTCGACCTGGCTGAAAATATGAAAATGCCTAACAGCTGCAAAATATACATGAAAAAATTCAAAGTGCAAGCATTCATGAATAATGCTAATGAGGTGTTTTATGGGAATTGTAAGTTTTATCCACTTGTTATTGTTTATATATATATATATATATGATATATATATATATATATATATATATATATGGACCAAGTATCTTAGCAAATTTTGTTCTCCTGTTCGCGCTACTGAAAGATGTTCAAACTAAGATAGATAGCTTCTTCCATGTGTCTTGGTTTTTAGTGATTCTGTGTATCATATCTATTCATAAGTGTATGAATCAAATCCTGCTGAAATTCTATGTTACACACCACCTACAGCTAGTATGCTGACGTGCTGGTCGGACTTTCATACTACAACGATCCAACAAGTTACACTGACTGGGATTGGTGTTCCTGCAGGTCTCATGATGCTAGTAAAGTCGTTGGGATATTGGTTAAACTGAAAACAGTTATCGTCTTAGTATAAGTCGCTTACACGATGTTCGGAGTCAGAGGATGAAGTTGTGCATCTGGCAAATAGAAGTGTACCAGCGGTAAGGTGGTCATCTCAGAAGATCAGCAAGCCATCTGTGCTGTCACTCCGGGAGGGAATGTTAGAAAAGATCAACTCCAGAAATTATACGTTCTGACTTACTCTATGGCGGTGTGTAGCCAGCGGTAAGGCTTCCACACAGACGCAGCTCCGAAAAGCATTCCAATCTGTTTTAAATGAATCTGATTCAGACTGATGATGAAATTGGCTTGATAAACACATTCTAACAGACTTAAGGGTGATTAGTTCATGTTATTGCATACGTAAGCGTGAAACTAAGAATAAATGATTATTAACTAAGAAAATTAAAGGTCTATCTGTGCGATTATATGAATTTTAATGGATTTGCCTGAAAAAAGATACAGGAGTATGTGTGAACACTTTGAAGTATTGCAATTAGTGTTTGTGAATTCAGGGAACTTCACAGGTGGCTAAAGTGATAAAGATTACACGCATTCCTTCTTTAATTATTCTCTTCCGACGACTTAGTGACGTTTAGTAAGTTATCAGGAACAAAATAGATTTTACAATGCTATTGATCAGTACTCGTTTTGTGATCAGATTGAATTCAGTGTACTAATATGAATGTGTCCACTTTATTCAAAATATATCTAGTATCGTGCGTCGGTGGCTCAGTGGTAGAATGCTTGCCAACCACGAAAATGGTCCTGGGTTCGATCCCCTACTGACGTACTCCCTAACCTCACTAAGCCGGTAGTAATTCCAGTAAAGAGGGAAGGTTTGGCATGAGGCTAGCAACCTCACCCTGTAAAAATGAAACCACTGCTACCGAAAATTCAAAGCTCTAGTTTGAAGCCCTATGTTCCTTTGGGAACTCAGTGGAATAATACAATCTAATAAAATGGATGGCGACACTATTTGGGACAAAGTCTGGTTGGTAGACAGTTACAGATGTGGTGGGTGGGCTACTAGTCTAACAGTCAAAGGTTTGAATCCTTTTGTAATGAAGATTCTTACTTCACTTTCAATTATCATCCATTGTACTATGTTTAGTGCCTGAAACTTCAAAGTAATGATTAACAATTATAGCTTTCAAGAAACTCCAGTGAATGATGAATGGATTCCGTCATTTAAAAACTAAGCTTTGGTAAAACAATTTGTGTTATACTAGTTACCATCAAGTGCCTTCGCTTGTTATATTTACCAAGATTCTGTCATCTGGTTAATAAGTTTGAAAAATAAATTTCATTTTCAACCTCGATACATTAATAAGATTGATAATGAACAATAATTCTAAAGATTTAGAATTTTCTGTTAGGGCTTCGATTGTTGTCCATATAGACTTTTCTGTTGACCGACATCATCTAGAGGACAGTTGTGAACTAGATAATACTAGAAAGGTGTTTTGTCATGTTATGGGACACTTCATCAGTGCGCATCCATGACTTCACATAAGGTTAAATTCGGGAACTCCAAGTTATGAGGCTAGTCTGTTGAACATTCAGTCACTAGATTTAAGTTCGGTTACTTTTGAATTCTGATTTCTCTAAATTTTCCGTATAATACTACTGCTAATAAGTAGCACCAATGAGTACCAGTTTCACTCTCGACATTCCAAGCCCCATCAACAACAGCTTCTCACTAGGACTTCTCAACAGTTATTCTGTCACTGCTAATAGGCAGGAGATAAAACACAGACTCTGAGTTTTGTTGTAAGTTCATGTCGAAACTTGCATTGAAAATAATTTTTAGGAGAATTGCAATTTCTATTTTAAATTAATGAAAACAAACCTTTGCTAGTTAAACGTGGAGGGGGAAAAGTAATACTGATCTCTTAGTTACTGCTGTTGAACATCTGCTTTCTTCAGATGCAGTATTTTCTCTCTTACTTTTATTTTTCCCGTTTACTGTTTTTTGTTTTTGTTTATTTTGTTTGTCTATTCTTCAACAGCAAAGTCGTGTGCTTCAGATATTGGTGTTAACAATGCTATACCGATTGGAGTCGGTGTTGCACTAATTATATGCATTGTTGTCGCTATCACTGTATTCGTTATATTTAGCAGACGTAATCGACGAAGATACAGCACACTTTGAAATACAACGAATTTCTTTCTTTATTTTAATGCATTGACTTGCATTAAAAGATGGTGTATTTCATTCATTCATCCAGTTATATGCATATGCGTGTGCTTTTCAGTATGAGAATAAATTAAAAGTTGAATTATTTCCGGTTGTGTGTTTACTTTAGTCAGTGTTAATCAAATGACAACTGTCTTGTCTTCTCTTGTTCAATTTCTATTTCACCTGACTGATGATGATATTATTGTTGACCACTCCTTTTTTCTTATTGTTATTATTACTTGTTTACAGTTGATTGATAATGCAGACTTTTATTTAACACACGACAATCACTTTTTTCCTCTTACTCTCTACATGAATCAATTATGACATACATAGATATATAATGATTCATAAGTGAATTTCTTATATTATTATAATTTTTTTTCAACTTCTATAAATGACACAAAAGAGAAATCCATTTTTTTACCGCTTGTTGTATTCTGCTTCCTCTGTTCTGTTTCTAATTCCTGTGTACTCATATTTCTATATAGCATATTACTATTTGTACGATTGGTTGTCTAATTAAAGATGTAAATCAAATATTATTATTGCTTTCTTTAAAAAAATAGGGAAGTTTTTAAAAAAATCTTTATAGGTAAAAGTAAATTAATATTTGTTATTAACTGATATTCTCGTTTTGAATCTAAACACTTTGTAGTAATGTTTGAAGCTTTGTGAGCAAGTTAAAAATTGCGGTCCAGGGGAACAAATTCACGAATGACCTTGAAACTCACGTGAAGAGTAAGTAAGTAAAACCAGGTGGAAGACAGTATATTCATGAGAGAATGATTAAAGGATATCAGGTTAGCAGGCAGTTAGTTTAGGGTTACGTTAGGAAAAGATTAGGACTGCGGTTAAGGTGGGAATAATTTATGGTTGGGTCGTAGTTAAGTTACAGAAAGATTATACATGTTTAGGATTAGTTAAGGAGAGATTAAGTTAAGGTTTGAGTAGGAAACACGAGTTCGCCTTTCGAAATTGACTGTTCGTCTCAAGGTCATTTGTGCATTCATTCACTTGAATTGCTATTCTTTAGCTTTGCTTTATTGGGAGAAGTGTAACGTTTTAGGATACTAATATTATCCTTATGTACGGTTTGGTGGATTACACCAGTTTAGCAATCATATACACCAGATCTGTGAGTCATTTGTGTTTCAACAATTCCCTTTCAGGTATAGATTAGTGATTACATCAACCTTGAAATGCATCATTTATACAACGTCTGAATTGTAGTAGGGTTCGACTGAGACTAGAGCTGATAATAGATCAGAGATTTTGAAGTGGTGGAGTAGATTTGTAGCTCAAGAGGATGTTTTTGCTGCTGTTTTTGTGCTCCCTAAGGTGGATGGTTTAGCTGCAAAACTTTCATTATCCTTCTGAATAACATCTTTAGGGTTAAATTCCATTAAACAATCCAGTTCAGAGAACACAACAAAATAATCTGCTTATTAAACATAAGTTCAACACGAAGAGTTCTTTTATCCGATAGATAATTTCCGGGAGGGTCCATTGGTGGTTTTTTATTTCAGAAAAATGCCATGACTGTAACACTAAGCATGAAACTTTACTGGCATTAGCGTGAAATTTCGCAACCAACATCTCATTATCATGCAATTTTATGTCAAACGCAGAGTCGTTAGTACTTCAGGAAATTATACTATTTGAAAAAAATTAAGTGATAGGTTTATTTAATCATACGTAAGAACAACGAATCAGCCTAACTGCAACAATTCTATCAGATTACTTTACAGGAACTATTTGTTCGATGGCCACAGTAATATCAGGTACGGCCAATTCTTAAAAGAAGTCTGACATTTTATTGATGGAGTAGTTATGTTACCTGTCTACTGATATGCATAACTTCGGTTTAAGCTTACACTTGTATGCAGTTTAATTTTACTCTCCCAGAATTCTTTCACTCATGTATTAATCACCTCAGTTGAGTAGGGGAGATATGAAGAACTATTTTTTGACAGTTGTCTTCTGCTACTCGTTGATGAGAACACCTTGACAGACGGACATTTCACTAAACTACTAAACTCTGTCTTGCGTAAATCTACTAATCATGATTATATATATATATATATATGTATATATATATATATAGTTTGATGCTAGTTTGCAGTCATAGAGAGCGGTAGCTGTTACAAAAAGCCGTCTTTTTTAAGCGTCTCGTCCTCATTTGAAGTTTAACTTTACTTTCCCCGAAACTCGGAAAACTGCTGCTGTCAATCCAGCTGATGTTTCCCGTATCTTGAACAATTGCCTGCCTCAAATGAGAACTTTATTTAGATATGATGAATTTCCAGAATTGCTATAATTCTCTGTAATATATATTTTTTCAACACCATTATGTAACAGGCGATTAAAAGTCTCATAATATGTTTCTTTTGTAACGCTGATTACTTTTCAATTCACATTATTAATAATAATCTTAAGTTTCACCAGGTTAAAAAGTAAAGATTTATCTTTTGAAAATATTCGAATCTACGAATGAATGTTAGATATTTGGTGTTGTTGTGTATCCTGAGTTAGATGCTTTAATTGTGGAAGTTTCTATGACCTTCTAGACAATCTATCTCTACAGCACTAAGTTCAATGTGGAGTTAGGATTTGTAGATTGTCAGTTTACAGGTTTTATCATGAGCTGACATCAGTTAGAGAACCATTAGAAAACCGAGAAATACCATAGAGCCGTTTTGTCCTGGCTTTGGACTCTTCAGAACATAGCACCTGGTTACAACGAAACCTCATCGACTACTCAGCCACTACCGAAGATCCCTACACTATGATTAAACAGCTGCCCAATATTCCCTGGTTTTCCAATGTTTCCCTAACTAAAAGCAGCTCTTGATCAAACCTGTAACCAATGAAATCCCTGCAAATAGACACTTGGAGATTATCAGTTCGTTCTAAGATTACTATTAAAAAGTTTGAATAAAGCAAGAAGAAGAGTTATTTTAGCAGAAACACATGACCAAGAGAGCAGAAAATGACCATTCTCCATCTGTAAATAAGGAGCCTTTATGTATACGACTGCAATTTAAGGGTGACGCTCCTAGTGAAATAATAACTAACACGTTAAGAAAATCTATTCAAAGAACTTTTGATGCTGGTAAACTACAAGTCATATTTTCTACACTACCGATAGTGATTCCTCGATTGAACGATGAAGTAAGTAGACTAGTCACTTCCAATTATATCTACCAATTCAACTACGCTTGTGGAGTAAGTTATATTGACCATTGCTCTAGGAAGTTGGTTTTTCGTGCTCAGCAACATCTACAAGTAAAGGTATAGTAGAAAACCCTGAACAGTTCGATATTAGACCACCTGGTCCAAGCCGACTACAAAGCCAGCATTGACGAATCCCTCTCTATCATCTACCGGGTACCAGATAAATTGCCGAAAACATCGAGGCACCACAAACTCCAAACAGTAGAGGTTACCGTGATTCACGTGAAACAACCAGTGCTTTGTGTGCAAACGAAGCAAGCTGAGCGGTGATCGAAATTCCCTGCTAATTGTCAAATTTTTGACAGAATATGATTATTACTTATTGTGTGGAAAAAAATATACTGGAGAAGCATTTAGGAGCAATAATCGTCTCCTACTGATAAAAATAAAGTTGATGTCATGACTTTGTATTGACTCACTTCATTCTTCACTATTGTAACTAACTTTCACTCTGCATTTGAATGATGATTTCATTGGTCTTATTATAGATTGGTTGGATGAGTGTGGTCCGTTGTGGCTGATGTTTTGGAATTAACTATTCCGTTTACACAAATCCCTAAGACCTCCAGTGTAACTTTTGGTTTAACACTGTGGCTTTTAATACATTAAGAAGTGTAAAGAAATAATGAAGTTTACGTGTACACACCACTGAAGTCAGATATAGTGCGCTTCAGTCTGAGTAGATTTAATAACAGGACGTAGATTTTAGATGAGATAAGGAGACAAAATAAGAAATAAATGGAACTTTTAAATACTATGAAACCTTCTGTCGCGTTCATTAAAGAAAACCCTCCTCTCAGATGAACTTCAGCTCACTTTCTCTGTCAAAGCAATGGTTCTTATGAACGTGAAGGATAAGCTGCGATTCTTGGCCTCATCAATGTGTATCTATCAGTTCACGTGCTTCTGTGGAGCTAGATATGTCTACCATACTCAGCGTTTGCCATCCAAACGTATCACCGAACATTTATTCTCATAGTCTTACAAAAGAGAGAAAAGGTCACCCCTTTTGGTATTATTCTGGAACACCTGATCGATTCTGGAAACCCAATAAGTCAGCAGGCGAGGTTCAGAGTCCGGAAATCCTGTCAAAGAAGTACGAATCAAGCTTTCTCAGAAGCGATAGCAGTCCATATGTTAAGTCCGTAACTCTGCATATAGAAGAAGTCTGTTCAAAGACTGAACCTACAATGGACCTAATTCGTCCTAACACTGGATACTTAATTTTTGCCAATCCTAACTTTTTAGTTCCTTTCAAGTATATCATTTTTCTCCCTTATCCCAATAATGCATTTATACTCATTGGAACTCTGATCTTAACCCTTTCGATTTTAGTTGAGTTCTACTCAACCCAATCAATTACATTAAATGACGCAATTTACTTACTCAATTTTACTTTACTTTCTATCCAACTGATGCTTTCTGTATTAAGTATCTATTACCTGAAACTTAAAATTCTAATGATACATCTTTCTAGACATTCCTTTTGCTACTAGGAAACCTTACTATATATATATATATGTATATATTCACTGAACGCCTCTTCTTTTCTATTTTTATTATGTCTTCCCTGTCCCACCCTGCATCAGACCTCATAACATCTTGTACTCAAGCCAAACTTTCTTATCATTATTATGTCGAATCATCACTTTATTTTGTCCCCTTGATCAACTATTTGGAAAATAATCTGTACCTCCCCCTGCTTGGATTAATTAATTATGTTATGAGAGGTCGTT